ATTCCATTTAGGGCTGAGTATTTCAGTTCTCTCATTCTCTGCTCATTGACTAATTGTGGGTCTGTGTATTAATTGCCATTCATTGCAAAAAGAAATTTCCCTAATGAGGACTGAGAGTTGTGCTAATCTATGGCTATAATGATAAGAACTTTTGGGGGGAAGTTTATTACTGTGTCCATTTAGCAGAATAATAGTATTATGTTCTTTCCTGGAGCCTATGAGAGCCAGCCATGGAATTTTGGCCCCCTTTGGTACCAGGCATGAGTTCCCTTTTATGAAGAGGTCTTTAGACCCAATCAACAAATGGTTGGTTACTTCCATGATTTTCATGCCACTATTGTACCAGTGGGCATGTCTTGTCAGGCCATTCATTATTGTAGCACACAGGGTCGCAGCTAGAAAGATGGATGATTACATTTCTCTTATGCTAATGTGCTTCCTAGAACTAAGAAAGTTAGATAGCAGGAGTGAAGCTTCCATGTGTACAGATTGATTTCTCTATGCTCTGTCACTCAAGCATGTGTTGTCTTCAGCAATAAGGTCTTTCTGTCAGATCTGGAGGGTAACCAAGAGCAATGACAATAGGCTGTCACATTTTTTTGGCGGGATCCTTTGAGATCCCACTAACTCTTTATATTTGATTTGCCTTAAAACTGTGTGGGTTATTCTGGGTCACATTTGGCTGTAGCATTAAAATCTTAGACTGTAATTTCTCTGTCAATGACTATATTGTATTTGAAACAAATTGGTAAATTGTAATGATAATTCTACTGTAAGATTTATGTTTTGTCAAAATTAAGCAGTGAGAAGAAAAGGAAAAACAATCATGTTTTGAGACATTTATATTAAAACTTTCCCTCCATAGTAGATATTTTTTTTTAGACTGCAAGAAAGGAATTCTAACCTGAAAGAGTTTATCCTTTGAATTGACTAAGGAGAAATGACTTATCTGATATGCCACAAGAAAGGGAATACACATGCTAGCTAGGACATATCTAATCTTTCATAAATCCTAGGTCTAGGATATTAAAGCATGTAGATATGTGTGGGAAATGAAGGTTCTGTTGACTGGCTTTGTAGCGACTGGATTAAAAAAAAACCAAAGAAAAGAATATGGTTTTGGTCCTGAAATAACTCAGGATATTTCAGAAGCAGAGGAATAGAAGTTGGAAGTTATTTTTTCCTTAATCTTAGAGTGAACATACTCTTTCAATATTAGGATTAGTCTACTCAACTAAAAATTAAGACATCATAACAAAATAAACATAAAGTATATATATATGTTAATAATAATAAGCTGTGAAAAGAATAAGCAGACTTGCAGGTAGCATGCAAACATTTGCATCATTGTGTCCTGACAAATTAATATTTATTAGCCTATACCAATTTATACATTTTTTAGAACAAAATTTATTGCTATGCTGCAATAAGCCAATAGCAGTGTCCTCTTCAAAATTCATTAACTTTATAGAGAACAGTCTTAAAAATTGCATTTAACAATATGAGACACAGTTTAAGTTGATTTTCAGTTACATTTGCAATAGTGCTATCCACTTGCCCACCTATGGTCTATCTATGACTCATCTAAAGAGCCTATGGTGAAAGGGGTGATTCTTCCATTGCTCTCACTCATTGCCTGTGACTATTATCAGGGAAACTTGGAAAAGACCTTGTAAGAGCAGGTGACAGCGATGAATTGAATCACCCATAGACTAGATATCATTGAGTCTTGTGTGTGATTGATGATTATCTCACAAATTTACTGCTATAATCTTGACAAACATAGGTGATCCATCTGCCCCACTGACTGGGAATGCAGTACTCAGTGTAACATGCAACCTTGTTCCCAGGAGCAAGTTTTCCAGATCACATAGTAATGGAGTGATGATGGAAAGCTATAAAAGTGAAGCTATTTGCATTGAGAATATTTCTTCAGTTATTGTGGCCAAGATACATCTCACTAAGATGCCTTTTTAGAACTCTGATTTGGTAATCTAGTAGATAACCACAAAAACAAGAGCAGTGTCGGGTAAAATGTTTCTCAATGTGTTATGTTTGAGAAATCTCCAAATATGATTTTGAAGCACTTGGCCTTGAAAATTTTAGCCCCTGTACATAATAAAGGAAATTTAATCTTGACACATGTGTAAATCATCAAAGCATTGTTTTGTTAAACCAATCTTTTTTTCCAAACAGAATAATATTTATGTATATTCTAATTTGCATATATCTGTACATTTGTAAAGAAGAATATGAACTGGTTTTCTTTTAAACATAGCTTCCAGTGTTTTAAATTTTGCTTAATTTTGATGCATTCCCAAGTTAGTAGACTATTTCTTATTCGACATTCTGGCATCTGCAGTTTTGAAGACTATATAGCTTTCATGATCTTATTTTGTAAGAAAGTAGAGATGATCATATAAGTATTTTACAAAAGAATTTCATTGTCAGTATAAATCAATGGTTCTCAGCCTTCCTAATGTTGTGACCTTTTAATACAGTTTCTCATGTTGTGATGACCCCCAACCATAAAATTATTTTGTTGCTACTTCATAACTGTAATTTTGCTACTGTTATGAATCGTAATATAAATATCTAATGTGCAACCTGAAAGGGTTCGTGACCCATAGGTTGAGGACTGCTGGTATAGATTCACAATCAAAAACCTTCTAAAATAAGAAGTAACAATTGCTACTTATGATCAATATTCTTGATATTAACTTTGGTATTTTCTAAAAGTATTTTATCAGTTAGTTAATTAATTAATTAATTAATGTATTCAGTAAATATTTATGAATGTCTAGTCAGGAAAGTGCACCAATGACTGAGATGTGACTTCTGTCTTTGAAAAACCATACTAGCAAATGAAAGTAAATTGAAAACTTAAAGGAATAATAATACATTGCAATAAGAGATAGTTCAAAAGAAGATTAACCTTTATCCCAGAGGACTTTTGGCAAATCTAGTTGTATTTAAAATTTATATAAATCAAAAATTCAGTTGGATTGTTCAATGTTCCAACTATCCTAGATAAATGAAAATTAATATCACATTTGAAAACAAAATATAAAAATATATGAAACAACATCTAAAACAATATTATTCTATGTTTTATTAGAATTTACTTTCTTTCAACCTTTCTGGTATTGCAGACAATCAATTCAAATTCAAGTATAAATAATATATAACTATAGACATGTGAGGCTGGTACCTAGATTTTTGTGTTGATGTGACTATAGTTGCTTGTGCATATCATGCATGTGTGTATGCATGTGCACAAATAGGGATAAAATAAGCAAGCATTCCAAATAAATTTGCTACAATCTGACCCTATACTGAAAGACAAGCTGGAGATAAAAGAGAATGAATTGAAAAAAATTAGAGTAACCAATCATAAAAAATGAGCTCATTAGATGCAAAACCTTAAGCCAGCTAATCATGTATTCAGCTTTGTAACCTTTATTCAGTGTTCTGTATTCATTTATTCATTTTTGTGTTTCTGTGGCAGGGCCAAGCACTTGCATGGCATATGTGTGGAGGTCGCAGGATTATTAGCAGTAGTTTATTCTTGCTTTCCTTCCTGTGGGTCATCAGGTCATGTGGGTACTCAGGTCATCAGGCTTGGTGGCAAGCACATTTTTCTTCTGAGCCATGTTTCTGGCCCTCTTTTATTTATTTATTTATTTTTTAGAAAATGATTCATTAATACTTATTTACATCAGCTACTATGTAACCACCAAAAATAGAGGTTACAAATATAAATTTTACTGTTTTAGATATTAAACAAAAATAAATCATTTTCCCCATGGTTTGAATAATAAATGTTTCAAAATTAATCATTATTAACAACATGATACTTAAAAAAGGTAAAAGTGTGATACAGCTGCCCAAGTATAGAGAGATAAGAGATTTTATGAGCAGAATCTGTAAAGTTATGCTCATGTTAATCTAACAAATCAATATTGACGTCTTTGCTTCTTTGTAATAACAGCAGCGCAACATGGTTGGAAGCAGGTCATAGTCAGAACTGCCGGGTCTCCATGACTCATTAACTCGCTAACAATCCCAGGAAACCTGGAGTGCTCTGTACTGTCCCCAGGTCCAGATGAAATGAGTTACTTAGTGATGAATTTCAAATTGCTACAGTTTTGCATTCCTTAACCAGGCATCTTAATAAGTTATTATAGTCATGCTAAGAAGAGCTTAGAAAACTACATGGACCTTTACCCCTCTTTAATTCACATGCATGTATCCCTCTCATTACAAGAAAACTGCTTTCTTCTGTTTTTTTTTTTTTTTAAATTGATTTTGGATGATTGAAGTTTCAGAAAACCATACCCATTGTTTTAAAGTAGAATGATTGAAAGTACTTATAAAATTACATAAAAATAGTACAGAAACATCTACTAAAGTTATAAATACCTTAGGAAAATATATTAACAAACCAATGAAGAAAGAAAATGTAAATGCTAATTTTCAAAATCATTTTGTTTGTTTATTTATTTTTTTGTTTTGAGACAGAGTCTCATGGCATAGCTCTGCTTGGCTTCAAACTCCCCATGTTGCCAGGCTTGCCTTGAACTCACAGAAATCTGCCTGCCTCTGTCCTGTGATTAAAGGTGTGTACCACCAGGCCTGGCAATATTTTCTTCGAAAATATAATCACTTTGAAAATTATTTGCTTATAGGAAAAATGTACATTTCTAGGCCAACTGTGTTCTTATTATATAATCTATTGTCTCAATTGAAAATTTACATTCAGTGACTAAACTGTCTTATAGTAACTCAAACATAATATAAACAAAGAATCTAAAAGTCAGGATAAAGACTGTCCTGTATTATCCTGTACAGTACCATTTCTGTAGTTCATTAAAAATTAGAGTAGCTCAAGAATGTATAATTTTAGTAGAGGTATTACTTAGAAAATTTCAGTTTATTATGGAAATAATTTTGTCTTATTAACATCATATTAAATTATTTTAAATCAATCCATATTTTAGGTCATGACCCTTGTAATTAAGAAGTTCTTGAAGACAATGTTAAATATGATCCAGGAGAAAATGTGATTTGAGTCTGGAGACAATTGTGCATGTAAGTATTTGGAAATTAGATTTTCCAGGGGTGAAATGTAACTAACAACTAAAATAACAACTTGCTAATTACTGAATTACAGAAACTTGGATTGGTACTTTCCAGTCTAGCACACTATTTTTTTTTAAGATATGAGAATAATATAGTCCTTCCTGATTTTCAGATATACTTTTCTTAAGATCTTAAAAAAGCAAGTCCAAGGTAGTTGATTGATAGAACAGAAACAATATTCAGAAGATTGCTCATGATTGAAAAAAGCGTCTTCAGCTAGGTAGGTGCATCAGTGGGGGTGAATAGTGGAGCAAATTCAATCTAACAACCGATGGGGTCTCAATGCATGTCATAAAAAACACAAGACATGGGGCCATATGGAAAAGGGCCTCCTAATTTTATTCTGAAAATAGTTATATAATGAATGTCATGCCTTGCTTTCTAACAGAATTCAATCCAAGTTCATTGTTCAGTGGCAAATATCTACTGAAGATCTTCTTTATTTCCTATGAAAAATCATGGTTATATTCTAATTTAAGTGTGTATCATGTTCAGTGGCTATATCATGATAACCCAGATGTTTAACACTAGTGTGTTAGAGTATATTATTAGGAAATGAGCTTTAGGGGCTTCAGCCCAGCAGGGTCTGTCTTAGTATTCAGCTGGCAGATAATGTTGGAGAGGCCATTTTCACCAGCATAGAATGTGATTTAACATTAGAAATACACTGATTTTGCTAATAATGTTCATAGCCTTATTTCAATAATGTAGATGGCTTTGGGAGTCTTTTTATTTCCCGATTTAAAAGAATTAATTTCTGCGTTAACTACTTTTTTTTTTTTTTATCATTTTAACAAAATACCTGTCAGGAAACAATCTTAAAGGAAGAAGGTTTATTTTTTTCCTCATGGTTTGTTAAAGAAGTAATGACAGTAGGGATTTGAAGCTTTTGTCTCTACAGGGCAAGGAGCAGACAGCAATGGATGCTCCCATTCATCCTGCTTTGTCTTTTTTATTTAGTTCATGATCCCAGGTCACAAAATACTGCTGCCCACAGTTAGCGTAGGGCTTCCCACATCAATTAACCCATCCAGATAATTCCTCACAGACATACCTAGAGGCTAACTTAAAAAAAAGATTTATTTATTTATTCATTCATTCATTTATTTTACATCCCAGCTGCAGTTTCCTCTCACTCCTTCTCCACATCCCCTCTCTGTTCCCACCCCACAATCCACTCCTCCTCAGTTTCTGTTTAGGAAAGGGCAGGTCTCCCATGAGTATCAACAAAACACGGCATATCAAGTTGCAGTAAGACTAAGCACCCCCCATCTATTAAGGGCTGGGCAATGAGACCCAGTGTAAGGAGTAGGGTTCCAAAAGCCAATAAAGTCAGAGATAGCCCCTCCTCCCACTGTTAGGAGTCCCACAAGAAGACCAACCTACAAAACTATAACAAATGCAGAGTGCCTAGGTCGGTCCCATGCGGGCTTCCTGGCTGTTGCTTCAGTTCCCAGAGGCTAACTTAATGTGGGTAATTCCTCAGAGGTGTGCCTGGAGGCTAGGCGATTCAAAGTCCGTCCATTGATAATTAGTATTAACACAAATTTAATCACAATTTTCTACAGTGAAGAATTCTTTTCCTTCCTTCCTTCCTTCCTTCCTCCCTCCCTCCCTCCCTCCCTCCCTCCCTCCCTCCCTCCCTCCCTCTCTCTCTCTCTCTCTCTCTCTCTCTCTCTCTCTCTCTCTCTCTTTCTTTCTTTCTTTCTTTCTCTTTTTGGGGAAAAAAGTCCTGGCTGTCCTGGAACTCACTCTGTAGACCAGCCTGGCCTCAAACTCACAGAATCTACCTGTCTCTGCCTCCTGAGTTAACTACCTGGCTTAAAACTTCATTTTTATGTTGTTCGAATGTTAATTTTCAAGAAATTGGCCTGAGAATAATTTTCTTCCTTAAATTGAAGTCAGGAAGTTACAGATAAGTTTAATACTTATTAGAAATAAAGATAAATTATATGTATATAATAAAATGTAAAAGATAGTCACATAAAGCTGATTATGTTTTTAGTTAAATAATTTTATTCCAATTTTGGTAAAGATAAAGAAAGCAAGATACTTTATAATTACACAAAATACATATACAAGATGTTTTCTTTATTTGTAAGTCAAATTAAACTAGAATATATTTCACTAAACTCTGTTATACTTTAAGCCATAATGTTCTCAATATTTGTATGACTACTAATCAAATCCTTAGAATTAGTGTAGAATTACAACAGATATTTTCTTTTGAAGCATATATTGATTTCATGAGTATTGAATTGCATTTATTTCATTTTTATTACAGTTTGAACACACAACACATTTCATTTGAACACTAATGATGGAGAAAAAGCATATGCTGTATTTTCTGTTTCTCTTGCCTTTTAATATGGTAAGCATTCATCCCACTTATTTATCTCATTAATTATGACTATGCTTCACTTACAATATATTCATCTAATTGATAAAAGTTAATTAATACAAGTTAAAGTAGTTATTGAATGAGTAAGTTGATTTCATTTTTATATCCAAGTAACACAGCAATAATCTACATCTCTTTACTATTTTTTGTACTTTGAATTTTTATAACCAATATGGACTGTTGGGTTTTTGGAAGGAGGTTGGAAGATCAATGGATTCAAATGTACAAAACTTGTGTTACAGTGGTAAAGTTAGGAAAACACTGGGATAATGCTTTATAATAGTACAATTACACACAGCACATAAAATACATTTAGAGAGACACATAGATTCAGTTATTTGTTGGAAAAAATCCATATTCTAGTCTTAAAATTTTTTCCACTAATTGTCATATATCGATTGAAAAAATCTAGGAGACATGTACTGTATTTGTGTACTGTATTACATGTACTTTTCTCATTCATTCATTAATTCACTCATTCAAATGGATCTTGATGCTGAATTTGGGGCAAGTGTGTCTCCATGTGTGTGTTCACTTCCATGTGCTTCTCTGCATATGTGGGTTAGAGATGTGAAGCCAGAAGGAAAGGCAGAAGATTATCAAGGCCAAAAGAGCAGCATGCTTCATGGTTTCACTTATTTGTAGTTACGTGTCCCTTCGTCTGGCTTTCTGCATCAAATTAAAGACATCAGTGCTGCTCTTCTTTCTTTATAAGGATGAAAAGCCCAAAGACATAATCTCATCTAATTCTGTGCCAGCAAAGTATTTTCCTGTGGTGTTTCCTAGCAAAGCCCTCAAAAAGATTCAAACGAAGGGATTAAAACACAGTACTGAAAGCCTCAATGAGCAATATTCCATTTCTGTGAGTCCATGCACTGGAAAACATCCCCAAGTCTAGAAGGAGTCCAGTGTCTGCACTTAGGAGATGTTATCTTGGGTAACTGACTAGACTTCCATGGACAGAACCGTTTCTTCAGCTAACACCCTCAGTCAAGTGTGCCAGCAAGCTACGTGGGCCAATCTGAGTTCCCTGCAGGCAATCCTGGAGCATTTTACCCATCGAGTTAGTGTAACATAAGGCCCTGTGACCCTTTCCCTTGAGTTCATCCATGGACAGTGTGTAAATATATTTGAAATTATCATTACTTTGCTTATTTTCTACAAACCTTTTCAGAAACATGGCTTTATGTTTTTTTTTTTTCTAATATTGTCTTAGGATAGGATGGTAACTCAATTTACAGTGTTGGCCTACGTGAGGCACTAGGTTCAACCCCCAACATTGAAAAGTAAAATCAAATGACTTAAAAATAGTCTCAATGTTCCAGAACTTCATTTATTATGTCCCAGGGTAACTTCTGTATAAATCTCTATCAGGAAACTCTGACCTACCAGAAAACAACAGCCAATATTAGTGCTAATCAGGTAATGTGATGCCATCCAGTGAGGAAATTATTATTTTGATGTTACAAATGTACAAAATTTGATTATTTTCCATGTGATCGGTACTCCCTGATATCTGGATGCTATTTTCTACTGTTTTACAATATGAAAGAGAGTCTCGGTAGTAGTGATGGATACCTTACCGGCATTCACAGAGCAATTAAAAACACTGGGGGGACTGTAAATACTGCTGTTGGCATTCCAGAACAAGTGTGTAGGCTGTGCTGTAGCCGGCCGACTACCACAGGCTTCGGAGAGTCAACGGTGCTTCTCAGCGCTGTCGTTGGCAGCAGCCTGAAGGCTATTTGAAACTGGACACAGTAAGAGTTTTAGACTAAAGAAAGTGGCGAACACTACACACAGGGTTTTCCTCATGAGAGTCATTTAGTAAGCAAGCACCTCTCTACTTTTGCTGTTTTCCACCAGGTCTCTAACTAAGGCTTCCACCATTCTAAAGGCATTGTTGTTTTCCTCCCTTAGACTCTCGTTACAGCGGAGCCAGAAGAAGAAAGCCTGTTTGGCTTTAACCAAACAGAGCTGGGAGTCACTAGAAACAAGATCATGACGGCTCAATACGAATGTTACCAAAAGATTATGCAAGATCCTATTCAACAGGCTGAAGGTAATCACTACTAATTCCAAACGCACTTAGCACATATTTAAAAGAACTATCTATGTGGGCTCTTTACATCATTAATTAAAAATTAATTAGTCGCTTATTTTCTAGTTGTGTACAAATTAATTTCATTATATATTTGTGAAGTGTGTTTTATGACATGATTCAACTCACTCTTTTTAGTAAAATTTAACAAAACATTTTGTACACTGAATTTTCCAGAATTATCCCTTAGAAGGTGTAAGAATACTCAAAATATTAATCGATACTAGAATTAAAACAAGACAAATCAATAATCGTTGACCTTCGGTTCATGTAATTTGTAAATTTATCTTTTTAAAAAACACCTTGCTTGATAGAACTTGTATTTAAATAATACACATATGTTCATAGCAAATTTGGTAGCAAAGCTATCAAAGTCTTCCTTAAGAAAACCCTTTGCCATTAGTGCCATTCATGGAGGACCTTCCACGCACCAGATCTCTGCCTTGATTCTGGATGTAGAAGATGAGTAACAAAAGTAGAGTTTCTATGCATATCCAAGCCCCAAAGAACTCCCTGGTTTAATCTGGGAAGCCCAATGCAGAGTTAGTTTCAATGACAGAGTACAAAACAGTGAGCCAAAGCAAAATGTGGACCCTTTAGATAATTCTCTTTTTTAAACTGTCAGAGAAAAGAAAGATTTCAAAACATTTAGAAAAAGAACCATTTATAATATACCTGTTTGTAAATCAAATAAGGAAGCAAAATGTGAGTATCTGTAATCAAAAAGAAATTTGCTTTTAAAAGTGAGAAAAAACCCTTTTCACACTTAGCACCTTTAAACTTAATTGAAATGACCATTAATTTCCTAATATTTTAAGAACTGTTTATGTGCTGGAGCTGCACATTTGTTACAGCAGTCAGCAAAGTATGTTATTGTAAATTATCTGATTTAGGCCATCAATAAGATTGAATTATAAAGTAATTAAAACACTTGTATGCCAATTCTATGTCAACTGACATTTTATTCCATATCATTGCTTTATAATTATTGAATTAACCCCTTGAAAGTGATCTAGATAAAGGTTTAAGTACTAAAAGTTAATGCTGAACATTAGGAAATCTTTTTTGATTTCATAATAAAACAATTCTGTGATAAAATAGTTCAGGATCACTGCTTATTTTAACTCAGAACTTCACAATGCATTTTTCAATTTGTAAAAAAAATACACTAAAGGTAGACTAAATAACTATATATTTTTTTAAATCTGAAATCCATTTGAACAAAGACATCTATCTCACTCTGACTCCATAGAACACAGTGGAAAAAAAAGACATTGTGATGCATCATGTTGCCCATGTAGAAGTGTATTATACACAATCTTGCAGTGGGAACTTGGACAAGTTTAATATGAGTTCTGAACCAGTAAGAATGTTTCTTGATAGATCACAAAATGTATTTTACCAGCTATATATGATTGTGAACATTTTAAAATTTATTTAAGATCACAGGAAAGAAAGCTGTGGTTGTCCTATTTGATTTTTCAAAGTTTGCAATTACTTACAGTTTTAGGCACCACAATTATTATGCTCCATTGGGGTTAAAATGATCACAAGATTGTTGTACAGATATGCTATTATTAACAGATATTTCATGCAGCAGTCAGTGTTCTACTGAATTCTGACAAATTCTAGATTGTTATAGATTTTTTTAATTAGATATTTTTAGAACATTATTGTAATATGCAATATATTATATAAGCTTCTTTATCTTCACATTGATGAAAATAAGATGGTTATGGTTAAAATGTGAAAATAATAATACTGACTAGAAGGTTTTTACTTCAGAAAATGCTCAAAAAGCTTTCCTTAAGAATACAGTTTCTAGGTGGGCGATGATGGCGGCACATGCCTTTAATTCTAGCACTCAGTAGGTCAAGGCAGGTGAATCTCTGTGAATTTGAGGCCAGACTGGTCTACAAAGCAAGTTCCAGGACAGCCAGGCCTGTTACACAAAGAAACGCTGTCTCGAAAAACAAAAACAAATCAAAGAAAAAAATTAACAGGGACACTAATTAACAACTATCTCATAGTTAGATAAAATAGTCAAAGATACCCTGATTTATTGAACAATTGATTTTGAAGAAATTGAATCTAATATTTATGCAGAGTCATTTCTAAATTTGGTTTGGATATTATTAATAATAATTCTTAATGGTTACTATAATGATTACTTAGTGACGAAATCAAGCAATTGTTGTGGGTTTTATACATCTTTATTTCCAGGAGACTTATTTACACCAAGGCACTGAGAAACCTTCCTTAAGAGTTTGTTTCCCTGGGTAGCTCCAGAGACTTAGTACCCTTGGTTTTCATTTCTCTCTAAGGCCTTTACTGCAACAGAACCTGGGATGGATGGCTATGCTGGAATGACGTTGCAGCGGGAACTGAATCAATGCAGTATTGCCCTGATTACTTTCAGGACTTTGATCCTTCAGGTATATACTGGGATTTAATTACAGATCTTATTGCAATCTGTTTAGTGAACACTGTGTTTATTAAATGCATTTGGAACCTATCACAACCGTAGTCTAGAAAGATTTGTAGTATATAAATATCTTGATGTTTAATGTTCTATTTCTGAATTCATTTAACCAAAGAAAAAATTTGAACAGAAGCTGTAGTTTTTTTAAACTCTCTTAACTTTTTTCCCTTTTTAAAATATTAAAGAAAAGGTTACAAAGATCTGTGACCAAGATGGAAACTGGTTTAGACATCCGGATAGTAACAGAACATGGACAAATTACACTCTGTGTAATAACAGCACACATGAAAAAGTGAAGGTATGTGACAATTGAGAGTTGAAATTCGGTTTGCATTTTTAAAAACAGTTCAAATATTACTGGGGAAAAGTAGTCAATGTTCCATTCCACACTAAAACCATTTCCTAATATCATTTGAGAAGAACAATGAAAAAAAAATCTGTGGAAAAGCTGCTAGTAATTCTGTCCTTGCACTGGGGAAGTAATCCTGTTAGATAACAGTGTACTTACACGTCAGTGCCTCAGTATAGGGGTTTCAGATTTTCCAAAGAAAATATAACTTAAAAGTGTAACATAAGGGAAAGCTTTAATTTCTAGTGGAATTCTAGAATTACCTCAAAAACTGTGGGTAGGCAAATGGGATAAGCTCAGTGGGTTTTAAACCTTCACCTCCTCCTCAGTAGAAGGTGCTCATCCTAACTGGCTGTAGAGGACACTTTCAGTCTCGTTCCTGCTTTGAAACTTAGAATTAAAGCCACAGTGAAGAACAGTACTCACAGAGTAAAGCTTGAGTGAAATACTTTTATGTATTTTCAGTTTGTGTGTGTATGAACACTGATATGTGTTTCCTGTTTTGGCACTTTATCTGCCCCATGGCCATGGACAAGAAATCCCTCATGTGCTAAACAGGATAAGTGTACTTTCTTCCAGTGGCTTTCAGAAGACCAGTAGAGTGCAATGACTCAATAACTGCACGGTACCACTGGTTTTATGTATCATGTACGCTCTGCCTACTCAGAGGTGTTTAAGTTATAGACTAAAACCAAATCCCAAACCAAAACCAAAACACAACCCAACCAACTGAACCAGCCAACCAATTAACTAACCAACCAACCAACCAACCCACCCTCTATAAATGTTAAAAGCAAATAGAAAAAGAAAGAAAATGAAAACTAAGAAGAAAATGTTAAAACACATTTCTATAGATCAAAGGATTTTTAAACTTTCCATGTTAAGATCTGTCTCTGAGCCTCAGATTCGTGAAAAGAAATAGAAAAACTCAATAGGTAAAGAAAGCCTTATTAGGCGTTTAATTCTGAACAAACCAAATCCTGGGTATCAAGTGATTTTAAATAAAAAATTGCTGATTTTATTATAGTATAAAATAGATCAGTAAATGCATTACTTCAAAGATTTAATATGTGACTTATGATTTCTTAAAAAGGATACATGACTCATAAGTATTTGATGTACTTCATTAACATGTTTTCAATGATTTATTGGGTTTCAAGCAAGTGATTATAAATCTATCAACATTTAAAAAAAATAAAATCTATTAATTTGTATCTCAGCTAATACACAAATAGATTTTAGATACATTCATTCTATTTTTTTATCACACAATTATAGACTGCACTGAATTTATTCTACCTAACTATAATTGGACATGGATTATCTATTGCATCCCTGCTCATATCTCTCATCATATTTTTTTATTTCAAGTAAGTATATTTAATTTTTTTTAAATTTGAAAACTGTGGTAAATTCAGGTTATGTGTATATTGAACTCATGTGCTGAAAAATATATAAGCTATATGTATATTTTTTGTATATTTGTATATTATTGTGTATAAACAATATTAAGTTTAATATTTAAAGTAAATTATGATGTTATTTTATTTTAGTTTCATGAAATAGGCAAGTTATTAATTAAATATCTCAATCCTAATTTTATAAAATTATTAGGCATATAAAAATAAAACATATGCTTTGATCATGTTGGTTTTAGAGGGCCGGTCTTGTTTTCTTGGTGTCCTCCATCCCCTCTGACTCTTACATTCTTTCTACCTCCCCATCCCTAGGGTTTCCTGAGCCCTGAGGGGAGGGATTTAACGAAGCTATCCCATTTAGGGCTGACTGTTCTAAGGTCTCTCATTCTCTGCATAATGTCTGGCTATGGGTCTCTATATTTATTCCCATCTGCTGCAGGCAGAAGCTTCTCTGATGATGGCTGAGCAAGGCAATGATCTATGAGTATAACAGAGTGTCATTAGGAGTCATTTTATTTTATTTTTTTTTTTAGAATAGTAGTATTGATTTTGCCCTAGGTCTCTGGGCTATCTGGTCTTAGGCTCGCAGTGTCAGGTATGGGTTCCATCTCATGGGGTGGGCCTTAAGTCAAATCAGACATTGGTTGGTTACTCCCAGAATTTTTGTGCTGTCACTGACCTAGCATATTGTATGTACAGGCAGGAATACCACTGTGGATCATACGGATGTGTTGATGTTTGCATTTCTCTTTTGGTAGCATGCAGAGTGCTTTCCTGGACCAAAGATGCAGGAACATAGGGATGAAGGCTCTATGTAGTCACTAGCTTGACTTGTCTATGTTCAGTGAGTTGTTTAAGTGTTGTCTTCAGCAATGGGCCTTTCTGTCAGTTTGTGGAGAGCAATCCATAGTCTTGGCAACAATCTGGGTTGTTTCTGGTTCCCATGGGACTCCTTTGGCCAACAACTCAATTTGATGGAGCTGAATCCTGTCACTGGAAGCTTAATTTGTTGTCAAGAGATGGCTAGATAGGGCTGTCTCCCTGATTCTTTGGCAATTTGATTTGGATTGCCTTCATGTATGTATATATTTTGGGAAATTTCTACTCTATTAAGTGTCCTTACTAGCCCTCAAATGACCCTTAATTTTTAACTATCTCTCCCCATATTCCCTTCTTCTTCCCCCTCTTCCATCCTCCCCACTTGATCCTCCCATTCCAGCCCTCCCCGCCCCATTTGGCCATGACTGTCTATTTTATTTTCCTTTTCTAATGAGATTTATCTTCCCACAAGTCCCTTGCTCTATACCCACTCTCTGTGATTCTATGAATTGTCGCTTGGTTATCATTGACTTAACAGCTAATATCCACCTATAAGTGAATACATACCATATTTGTCTTTCTGAGTCCAGGGTACTTCACTCAGGATGACTTTTTTCTAGTTCCATCCTTTTACCTTTTACCTGCAAATTTTATGATTTCATTTTTTTTTCAATGACTGAGTAATACTCCATTGTGTAAATGTACCACATTTTCTTTAGCTATTCTGTTGAGAGACAACTAGGCTGTTTCCAATTTCTGGCTATTACCAATTCAGCTGCAATGAACATGGTTGAGCAAGTGTCTCTGTAGGAAGATGAAGCATCCTTTGGGTATATGTCCTACAGTGGTGTAACTGGATCTTGAGGTAGATAGATTCCCATCTTCCTGAGGAACCACCACACTCATTTCCGTAGTGGCTGAACTTTTCATGTATATATGGGTGCTGTGTACGATGGGCATGTCTGGTATGCGTAGGGTTCAGAAGAGGCATTGGATCCCCACAAATTGGAGTTACAGACACTTATGAACCAGTATGTGGGTCTGGGAATTTAACCTGGGTCCTCTGCAAGACTAGCCAATGTTCTTCACCACTGATCTAACTCTCTAGCCCATTTTTACAGTAAATTTTTAGTTTTATTATGCAAATATTTTATCTTTTTTAAAGTCTTGACATTTCTTGGTCAAAGATATATGTTTTTGTGTTTCATGAACTATATCAATCCAAAAGTCTCCTAAAAGCAACATTTTTAGATCACGTTCATAACATCCAACACTTACAAACTTAAGACCGGTTTCTTACAGAGTGATCTTGACTGACACTATCTCCAGAAACTCAGTTACATTCATCAGAAATTCAGCAGTAATTTGAGAGTCCATTCTCTTTTTATTCCTTCTTTTTTAAAAAAATTTTATTTTATAGTTTAATTTAATTTTACATATCAGCCACGGATTCCCTTGTCCTCCCCCCTCCCGCTGGTCCCTCCTTCCCCCTAGCCCACCCCCCATTCCCATCTCCTCCAGGGCAAAGCCTCCCCTGGGGATTTATTTCAACCTGGTAGATTCAGTTCAGGCAGGTCCAGTTCCCTCCTCTCAGGCTGAGCTAAGTGTCCCTGCATAAGCCCCAGGTTCCAAACAGCCAGCTCATGCACTGAGGACAGGTCCTGGTCCCACTGCCTGGATGCCTCCCAAACAGTTCAAGCTAATCAACTGTCTCACTTAATCCAGTTTGCATCATCTCTTTTTCAGCAGGGACTCACTGTGTAGCCATTGCTGACTTGAATGTAGACTAGGCTAGTTTCAAACTCAGAGATCTGCCTACCTCTACCTCCCAAATGCTGGCATTAAAGCTGTGTTCCATCACACCCAGCTGCTAGTTAGCAGCTTTTTAAATCAGCTCCCTTTATTCACCTATAGATAATCTTAAAACAATTATATCAAATACAGACCTCACTTGTCATTCTCTGCTTAAAAATATTAGATTGCTTTTTACTGTACTTTATATAAACACAAAACTATCAATGAGTCTTGCCTATCATCTTCTCCACCTCCTAACTTGATTAAATGTTTCATAACTTGATTATTTCCTTAGCGGACTCTTCCTGAATTCCTTACTGAAACTGTAACTAATTACAGTGGACATGGTGTAAAATTTTGAAAGCATTTGAGAGATAATAATCTCTTTAAATTAAAAACCATTCCAGCTGAGACTCTTCAGGTTAAACTGTCTCTGTTTTTCATGTAACAAGCCAAAACATCCCAGGACATTAAATTTCTGAAGGCGATAAAGTTAATAGCAATTACATTGCATTCCAAAACCAGTAGTAAGAAAGAAAACAATGGTCTCCTGGAATTCTACGTCATGTGCCTTCATGCAATTCTGATTTAGCAAAGATATCAGTAAAATACCCACCAAGTAAAAAGGAAAATTAATACTCCTTCCCCATGTGAAAAAAAATCTAAGAGTTAATAAAATAAAGGCTCACTGGGCATATGAGGTAACTGGGGCTGCCAAGGCAAACAATACAGAAGCCAAACTGGACCAGGGAAAGTATAGCATCAGTCTGAATCTCTAATCAGACCGCTCATTCATTCAGTTCTCAAAGGAGAAAACACTTTCATAATAAATGGGTTATCAAGGAGGCTGAGAAATTAAAGCAAACAATATCTATTTTGATTATATCATAAAAGGACAAAGAATGTTAAGTCATAAAGGATTAAGATGCACAGTGATAGAAGCATAAAACATCATGAGTGCAAATAACTATAATTAGGAATAGAGTTTGTACAGTAACAAAAAGGAGAAAATATATGGCTTAATTAAAAACCTCTTAATAGCTAAACAAAATGTAGTGAACATCTAGTTATCAATAGACCTCATTGTCACTCAAAGTTTTCAAGGAGAAATCATACACTATAATCAATCAAGAATGTTGACATGGTTGGTCAGAGAAATGGCTCAGACAGTAAAGTGCTCTCTACATAAGCACAAGGACTTGAGTTTGGATCTTCAGCATCCATGTAAAGAGCTGGGAGTAGGAAACTGGTGTCTGTAATTCCAATGCTGGGGAGGTAGGGAAAGGACCCTTTAATCCTGCTGGCCAGAATTCTAGCCAAATTGGCAAGCTCCAGGTTCAATAGGACATACTGTTTTAAAAGTAATTGAGAGAGTGATTAAAGAAGATGTCTGGTGTCAACCAGTGGCCTCCACACGCATACACACTTATACTTGTGCATGTTCCCACACACGTATGACACGCTAAACCCATTCATACACACAAAAGACTATTATATAGTCGTTTTTTCCTGTTTTTGGGTTTATAGCTGGGCCTGAAGACTTATAATGTTCTTTCAAAGCTTAAGAATCTTTGAATGGAGAAGTAATTTGAATTAGAATGAGTTATCTTTAAGTTAAAATATATAACATCAAAGAAACTGGTACTTGTGAAAGTATTTTGCATACAAAAGAAATTTATGTTGGCAAACTATCATTGATATGAATTTCTGGCTTAGGGTTTTGATGATGTCTCTATTTATATATGTTTTATTCTAAAAACAAAAGCCATTCAACTAATATTTAAAGGTGAAGACTTAAAAACCTCCAAACTATTTATCTATGGAAACCACCTTTTCAAAGATGAACTCATATTTCTCTGAAATACATTAGTTTCAAAGAAACAATAGACAGATACAAACCTCATTTCAAAAGGCCAGAAATTTCATACTGTCCCAAATACTGTCCTCATGTCCATTATATTAAGTCATAAAAGATTAAAATATACAGTGTTAGAAATATAACCCCCTGAGTCCAAATAATTAGGAATAGAGTTGGAATAATAAGAAAGGAGAAGAAACCAGTGGTGGTGGCACACGCCTCTTATCCAGTACCTGGGAGGCAGAGGTAGGATCTCTGAGTTTGAGGCCAGCTTGGTCTACAGAGAGAGTTCCACAACTGCCAGGACCACACAGAGGAAACGGTCACAGACAAAAAGAAATTATGTGGCTTAGCTAAAAAAAATTCTAGGAAAAAGAAATTAAATGTCCATATATAAAAAATACAAGTGTTTGTTGTTTGCTAACATTTGTGCTCTTAAAAGTAATTATATAGTGCCACACAATTGAAACCTTCTTAAATT